GGTCTTTGAAATATTTAATGTGAGCAAATTCTTCTCTAACCAGGCTGAGACATTCTCCAAACAGGTTTCTGCAAAGGTTTGTGCTTGTTTCCAACTCTTACCATGAAATAGTAAGACTGTGTCATCAGCGAATATTAGTACATCCGTATTGGATGTTAATGCGTTTGGAAGACTATTAATATACGCCAAGAAGAGAGTCGGGCCTAATGTACTGCCCTGTGGTATACCGAATCCACAGGTTGAGGCATCACTCAGGTCATTATTTACTCTGACGTATTGCTGTCTACCCGCCAAGTAACTCCGGAACCATTGGTGTACATGACCGCGGACACCCAAGCCCTCTAGTTTTGACAATAGTATCGGAATTGATACTGTGTCGAAAGCTTTTTTCAGGTCAAGAAAAACGCCAATGACTTTCTCACCTCTATCAACATATTTGTGAATTAAAGATGTCAACTTCAATAAGGCGTCATCAGTCGATCTTCCTTTGCGGAACCCATACTGAAAATCAGTTAACAGTTTGTTTTTTTCTAAATAACTAATCAGCCTACTGTTGACCAATCCTTCCACAATTTTTGACATGGTAGACAGCATAGAAATCGGTCTATAGTTAGAGACATCTTGTTTGTCCTCCATTTTAAAAATTGGAGACACGATAGCCGTTTTAAATAAATCAGGAAATATTCCTTGTTCTAAACTAAGGTTACAAAGGTGTGTAATTGGATAAACAAGGTACTCCTTTGCTAGTTTAACAAAACTAGTGGGAATGCCGTCATAACCTGGTGCACTATCAAATTTTATTTTATTTATTAATTTATTAATCTCATAAGGGTCCTGGGACAAATAGTCCGACAAGGTAAGTCCAACTTCGACCGAGAGGTCAATCGACGGATTCAACTCGGCTGGGCAGCGTTCGGGAAGCTACGACACATATTCTCGTCAGACATACCTCAAAACCTTAAAACGAAATTGTACAACCAGTGCGTGTTGCCAGTGATGACTTATGGAACTGAGACGTGGTCCTTCACTGCTGGCCGTATGAGGAAGCTCAAGGTCGCTCAGCGAGCTATGGAGAGGACTATGCTCGGAGTTTCTCTGCGTGATAAACTTAGGAATGAGGATATCCGCAGTAGAACCAGAATAACCGACATAGCCCAACGAATTAGTAAGCTCAAGTGGCAGTGGGCCGGCCATATAGCTCGAAGAACCGACAACCGATGGGGAAGAAAGGTTCTCGAGTGGCAGCCTCGTACCGGTAGGCGAAGTGTAGGGCGTCCCCCCACGAGATGGAGTGACGACCTGGTAAGACATGCAGGAAGTCGATGGATGCAGGTGGCTCAGGACCGTGCTTTGTGGCATTCTTTGGGGGAGGCCTATGTTCAGCAGTGGACTTGTGAAGGGCTGTAATGATGATGATAAGGGTCTGTGGGTGCGAAAGACATAGAGTGAAGTTGGAAGTTTGATTGCACAGATGCTTGCCTTGCTAATTCGAGCTCCGTTTTTTTGAGTTTCTGTAGGATAATATCCGCCAGACTTTTACCAATAGTTGTAAAGTAGGTATTAATTTTGTTTAGCGATTCTTTTGTAGTGCTCCCAATTTTAAGCAACTCTGGGGGCACTTCGTTTTTCGTTTTCATATTGCATATATCCTTTATCACATTCCAGGTCTTTTTAATATTTTTCTCACTTTTTATTAGTTCCCTTTGATAATACTGCTGCTTCAAAGATTTTATTATTTTATTGCAAGTGTTCCTATATTTTATATAATATGCGTTAATTGTATCATCATTCGGTCGTAGTTTGGCCTTTTTATGCAACTTATCTCTCACAACGCCTACCGTAATCCAAGGCTTAAGAGGTGCTTTCTTTTTGGATATGTACCTAGTGCTTGTGCACTCGTTAATGATATTTGTAACAATTTTGACAAGATGTTCCGCAGTTTGATTTACATCACGCAACATAAAATAGTTTGACCAGTCTGTGACACTTAGATGATTTAACGCTCGGGCGTAGTCTAATACCTGTTTGGTGTGTGTGTTTTTTGTCTTCGACAATCGAGTATTTTTTATTTGTAACAGGATAGGACTGTGATCTGTTAATGGTGGAAAAACCATGGTTTGCCATTTTTCAGTCGTCTTTATCATAAAGTGATCGAGACAGTTGTTAAGCCTAGTTGGGTGTGTAACACCTTGTTCTAAGCCATGAGTAGCTAATATGCACAGATATTCGTGTAATTGATTATTGTGAATGTCAAAAGACATCGTATTAATGTTTATATCACCTGTAAATATGACGTTCCTGCTAGAGTATTTTTGTAATAAGCTATCTAACGATTCTAGATACCGTCGAGGGTTAGCGTAACAAGGTGGCCGATATGAACAGATGATCGAAAACCCATCAACATTAAGTACAAGGCAGTTACCATCTATTAAAACCGGTTCAGAGGTAATAACTGTAAAGACCTTACGAACATATACCACTATACCATCGTTCTGGTTTAAAAGGTTTTTAGAGTAATAAACACTATAATCGGTTATATTTGGGGGATGGATATCCTTTCTTGACCAGCATTCGGTTAAAACTATCATATCTATTGTTTTATTAAGTGCCGATAAAAAAGCCAATAACAGATCGAAGTTGCGGTTTATACTACGAATATTTGCAGTAAGGATGCAAAAAGATTCGGAACCATCATCACATTGCAAAAGTTGTGAGCACTGCGACACATCGTCAATCAGAGTACAGTTGGCTTGATTTTTATCCAAGTCAGATATAATATTATTATTAAAGTGTTAATATACAAGTAAATGTAATAAACGATTACGCAGTCCACCTGATAATAAGTAGATTTTTTTATAGGATAGGTTGACAAACGAGCACACAGTCCACCTGATGGTAAGTGGTTACTGTGGCCTATAGACATCTAGATGTATCCTAGTTTGCGAATCAATATGCAGATGCTTTGTCACCCGTGAGGACTACGATGGAATGCCACTTTTCCAGTAAAAAGAGTCTTCGGTTCTCTACACTCACCGTACGAAACACAGCAGTGTTAAGCTGCTATTTTACGCTGGTATTCTTTGAGAGCGTGGTCCTTCCCTGGTCGAGCCGACCCATTCATGCTACAACTATATACTACTAATATAGCTGCAGCATGGCTCTACCACGCGACAACAAAGTGTTACGGTCTACAGTATAAAAAATAAAATAAAAGCTTACAGGAAAAAGGCATGTATATAATAAGTACCTATTTTTAAATAATGAAAAATATTCATGTTTATTTACCGTGATATTCTTTTTTTGGTTACAAAGATATAATCGATGTGACATTCACATTTTCTTCTATTTAAAAAAATAAGTGTGCGATATATACCTATACGCCGTATGGTTGCAACGTCAGAGAATCCACCACCCCTTATCATACCGTGGATGTCGAAAGTGGCGATAGAAGAACATAAAAAAGGAAATCAGGGCAGTAGCATCAAACTGATAAAAACTTAACACAATAAAGAACTGCGGTTGTTAAACCATTCACCAACTGTAGGAACTATAACATATTCTATGAAGAAGGCCTATTTTTAGCAGTGGATTTTGATAAGTTGTAATAAATGAATAAAATATACGCCTACATCTATCCTCGATTAAGAAACAAAATGTAGATACGCTGTATTTTTTTTTTTGAAATTATATTTATTATATACAATATTAAAAACTATATGTGGTTAAAAAAAAAACTAAAACTAGTAACTTAATTATCATACAGTCCTACTCCCCGTGGTATCGTGCTAAGAACGCTGGCTGCGTTTCCCCGCTGAATGGCTATACTTAGCCTTTGAGCGAAAAAGGAACCAGCCCTCTTATCACCAGCAGCAACGACCCCTAGGACTAAGATTGAATACCTCTTTACCAGTAAGACCACGGTTCTCGTCCGTATTTAATGCGGAACGCCCTGGAAACTTTTGGCATATTTTTCTTATTATGATGTGGGATTTCAGCTAATATTACGGCACATTACCCCACATTCCGGAACTTGTATAAGTGAAAGTTTGTTTTTACATTAATTAAGCACGCAATACAATAGGTATATTGCAATTGAATTTGTTTATATTATTATATATTTATTTACATTTAAAATTCAGTGAGGTTTTAAATTATAAATGATTTCCTGCTTTTTCAGGTCAATGTTATAAATAATGGTTTTAAAAAAACAAAAAAAACACGCTTTTGTAGATAACCGACCTAAAAGGAAGAAAATAATTTTCAATAAATTTAAAATAAGAAAAAAGTGATTAACGTACATAAATAATTCATTTTATAGTAAAATGCGTGGGTTGCTTTTTCAGATATTTTACGCTGACGCTAATTTTACAAATATCCTCAAAAATATTTACAATAAATTATATCAATCTCCCCACGCTTTTTACAATAAAATATTTTTTTTATGTTAATCACTATTTTCTTATTTTAAATTTATTAAAATATATTTTCTACTTTTTAATTCGGTTATCTTTAAAAGCGTGTTTTTCTTTAGTTTTTTGAAACAGCAATTTTTTTTTTGGACGAAGTTCTTTTACGCGGCTTACAGATAGATTGAACTGGCTGAAATAGTAGTTGTTTTATGAATTATTTGCAAATCCTGAAGATCCTGGCAAGGATAATGTGACAAACTATTTAAATTATTGCATTGTCATCGGTCCTTGATAAGTGTGCGAAGTTTCAAATCAATTCGGCGTTTTGAAGGGGATTAAAATCACATTCAAAAATTCCGTTATATAGATACATACCAAGCTAAGAAAAACGTGTTAAAAAGTAAAAACCAATAAACGCAATAATTGCAATAATCGTAATACGTTCTAAGATATTCCAATATTTGGAAGTTCCAAGTTTTAACATACCTACTTTGTATTTTGCTTCCTATTTTAAGTACAAACTGATTGCACTTCTTTCACATATTCGAATAGCATATTTCCAAGATTCTAATAGCACATGTTTTCCGACAGCGCTATTCAGCAAATTGGGTGGACAACTTCAACCACACTCGACTGCATCGGGGACTGTGCCTTAACCGCAGCTGCTCTGCGCAAGCGCCACTTTCTTCAGCAAGCCTGCCGTTGGAGCATGAGCTGCAAGCATGGTAATTTTACAAAAAGATTTACAAAAGATTTTTTTTATAGAATAAGGGTGACAAACGAGCACACAGTCCACCTGATGGTAAGTGGTTTCTGTGGCCCATAGACATCTACATCTATCATTGTTTGCGAATTAAAATGCAGATGCGTTATCAGCCGTGACGACTAAGATGGATTGCCTCTTTTCCAGTAAAATAGGTCTCCGGTTCTCTACACTCACCATACGAAACACAGCAGCATTAAGCTGCTATTTTACGCTGGTATTCTGTGAGAGCGTGGTCCTTCCCCGGTGGAGCCGACCCATTCGTGCTACAACTATACTATTAATATAGCTGCAGCATGGCTCTACCACGTCCACCTGATCGTACTACTGCAGCCCATGAACATCTGCAACCAACTTTAAACAAAGAAGGCTACAGCTTCGTCCTTACCTCTGAGAGCTAAGACGTAATGCTTCAGTCTTTAATTATATTGGCTGTCTATACCCTATAGACCGGAACACTGTAGTGCACACACTGCTGTTTAGCGACTGAAATAGGTAGGATGAATACCTACCTAAACGGTCGTATAGAGAAAAGGAGTACGACAAGCTAGTAAAAAAGAATGGAATATTTTTAATTCAAGGTGGATTTCAAATGATACTTACTTAATATCACACACATTTGTACACTGCCTTGAAAAAAAAAATAGTGAAACTTTTTTCAAGTAACAATTTACAATGAATAGGTTGCACGACTAATTATGAAAAAAAAAAACTTTTAGGAGCAGCTTGGCAGCGATCAGTTCATTTCCAGGGATTATTATGATTGATATGAATATTACTGAAAGAGTTTTGTATATACAAATTCACCCCTGAGAAGATGGAACGCGTCATTACCAGTAAAAATAGTTCTGGCTATGGTTATGCTAAGAGGATTTCGGCTTTTACGCTGGTGTTTTCTTTATCACCGTTTCGCGGTCTTTCCCGAGTCAAGTTGACCCATAATGCATTGGCCGCACGGCTCTACCACTTTGAAAAGATTTTGTTTCTTTAAAACGTCTGCCAAGCAGAAGTTCTAATGTACCGAATACCGGTAAAGAACTGGTAATTATCGATTCTGGTACTAGAACCAGAACTGAAACTGAAACCTGAAAAAATGAGAACCGATAAATAACTATTCCAGTAAACGTGCGAAAACTTAACTTACTTGTTTGATTTTATGGATTAGCACAAGATGATATTTTCGGTAAAAAGGCATCATTTAATTATACATTTCTTTTTTCAATGTTCGAAGAAAGTAAGAATATAAAAGAGATAAGTATTAACGCTACCAAGAATTCTCCCTTTAATTTGGAACCCGATAACTCCTGGTATTTTGGAACCGGATCTAAAAACCCATATCTTAACCGTATCGGAATGTAGAACCTTCAGGCCCGCCACATACATACGGAATCCGAACGCGTCGGCCACACACATACGGAATTCTATTTTACCCGCAAAAATTTCGAACGAATAACTGCCGTACGTGTGTGACGGGTCATAGATTTTATATGGACTTGTTGCGTTCGGAATTCCGAATCGGAATATCGAAACGGAATCCCGAAACGGAATTCCGTAGGTATGGGGCGGGCCTAATACATACAATTTTAAGGCCGGCCACATACATACGGAATTCCGTTTCGATATTCCGATTCGGAATTCCGAACACAGCAAGTTCATATAAAATCTATGACCCGTCACACACGTACGGTAGTTTTCCGTTCGAAATTTTGCGGGCAAAACGTGATTCCGTATGTGTGTGGCCGATCCGTTCGGAATTCCGAAACGAAATCCCGAAACGGAATTCCGTATGTATGTGGCGGGCCTTAATCACTCGTACCAAGTGCTATGATTAATGTGTTACCTAATAATAGTGGTGTTGATTAGGTTCTCATCGTGCGTCAACGCGACCATGCAAACTTCGTACGGGCTGCGGGCCCATTTGTATCATCTGGAGTACTGCAAGAGCAGTACACCGAATCCGAGCAGGCCACTGACCGCCAGTGAGAAAGCTTTCGCCGCAACCGTAGCGGCGATGCTGGCTCTGGCTGTAGTTAGCACTACTCTGGACCTGACCTTATCCGATCACGCGCGTAAAGGTGAGTAAATTTATTTTTAACCATTGATTAAAAAAAGAAGATACTGTACTTAGCGGCAAAAAGTGGACCAAGAAAACGACGTGTCTGACGCACTGTCATGAGGGTTGCGGTCGCTGTTACATACAGACATCTAGCTCGCAGTACGGTCAGGGTACATACGTATGTACGTCTTATTGCACGCCTCACAACGCGCGAGCGTGTGGCAGTGCTCTGCTCTGGACATGCCGCTATGTGACGATATCTATACAAATAAATAAAATTGAAGTGTCTGTTTGTAATGTCAAAATTACAACTTTTTGTAAAATGCAGATGAAATCATATACGGTACTAATAACAAAAATACAATTTTAAAGTTATTGTCTTTCTGTCCGTCTGCCTGTCTGTTTGTTCCGGCTAATCTCCGGTACGGCTGGACTAATTTTGACGGGATTTTCACTGGCAGATAGCTGATGTCACAAGAAGTAACACGCTACTTTTATTATAGAAAAAGAATTAGGGCTCCGCGCAAAAAAATTAAAACCCCAAATAACACACGGGCGAAGCTGTAGCCATCGCGGGGATCAGCTAGTTGCAATATAAAATTCTTAGTACGTCTCAATTTAAGCACTAAATCAATAAAAAGGAATGTATTGAAAACTAGATATATTAAATTATAAAGTCAGTGTATTTCTTTTTCATTCCTTTAGTTATATTTACAAAAAATTTAGTTAAAAAATTATATATATTAGTACGGCTGTCAATCTGTGCACTTGTTTGTCTTCACGTTTTAGAAAAATATACGCAACGACACATCATCAAAGGTCGTGCGATGAACACTGAGCGCGTTCCGTACGAAATTTACGTACGTGTGTAGCGACTCGTACAAAATCTATGAAACACTTGCGTCCGGAGCGGCTTTTTTCCGTTCGGGATCCCGAACGGAAAAAAGCCGCTAAGGCGGGCCTAAAAGATATTTTTTCATCAAACGCTCATAAAACATGGACTTTTGGATTTTCCAAACTATTTCTGTTTTTCTTATTCTTTATGAGTTAGTTTTAATTCATATTACTCGCCGTAACCATTATTTACGTAGTAACTATTGATTAATCTGAGTCATTGAGACTCATGGGCTCCAACAGATAAGTAAGAAGCCCCTGAATACGTTGTCACAGAAGACCTTTGACTGAAATACTAACCTAAGCTAAGAGACCTCTAAATCAGAACTGAACCATAGATTCACATTCAAGTAGGAAAAAAAGTAAAGAGTATACGACTACAAATTCCTTGCCAGGAAAAAGAGCGTTAGTGAATATATTTTTTTCTGTTTCTGAATACCTTATGATAGTGCTAATTTTAACAGTAATCGTTTTTGATTATATAAATTATATGAAAGCCTATCGAAAGTCATAGATTGCCACATAGGCGGATATTTTGCCATAGTAAGTAACACCAATCAGCTTGGCTAGCGGATTGGTAATATCAGTTTTATATTATTTTCAGTTGTTATCAGGAAAATGCTGTTGTTAATGTCCTTTTTCTATTTTCCTCTATTGTCACCTACGTCTACTACACAGCACGACTATTGAACTAAAAATGTTCAAATACTAATATAAATATAAAATAATAGTAAAGAAAGAGCTTCAAATTTACTTAAAAATACAAATGTACGAATTTCAAAATTCTACCCACATTTTTTTTGGAGTTAAATAATTGGAATATCGTGTATCATTGAAAAATGGAAAGGACGAATCGTTTGATAGATTTCAAATGGTATTTTTATGATTAGTCTCTTCTAGGGCAGCCGTGTACCGCTAGTATAACAAATTTCAGCACGTTCGACTAATTTGAGAGATAAGCAAGAAGTGATCGCCCTTTACCGGCTAATACGACAAGAAACATGCTTGCAGTAAAAAATTAAATACGGAGAATTTTATTTTTTATTAAAACAAAGGTGCATCGATGCCGAATGGTATACTACCAAAAGCTTGGTAAAAGTGTTCCTGCTGTGAGTGACAAGCGACCGAACACGGGGCTCCGCGGGCTACTGTTTCACCGTGACAACTCGCCCGCGCACTCAGTGCTCAAAACGAAGGACTCTCTAGACAGTACACCAGTTAAAGAATTTGGAATAGAATAGAATAGAATAGAATCATTTTTATTCAATATAGGTTATAGCATATAATACTTATTTAAAGTCATTTTTTACTTTTACCACTGGCTCACAAAAAATACCTCTGTCCTGGGAAGAACCAGCAAGAAACCCAGCGGGACTTTTTTTAAAGTGCAATTTACAATATAATACTTTATACAATTATAATGAAAACATTTAGAAACAGCGTGGTAGTGATCCCAGGGGTTATTATCAGTCATGTACTCTTTAGTAGTATAATAACCCTTACTAGATAATTTTTGCTTAATAAATAATTTAAACCTTTTGATAGAAAAGATCTGCATGTTTTCTGGGACTTTGTTGTAAAAGCGTATACATTGCCCCATTAAGGAATTACTTTTTGGATACCCTTTGGATACCCTTACAGACCTGGATTGGCACCGTATGACCATCCATCAAAAGATGCGCTAGTACCGTCTCGGCAGGCCGTAGAAGAGATCTAAGGCGAACTAAAACCGTGTTTCGAAAATCGGTTCAGACGCACGAAACTTTGTATAGACGCTGATGAAGAGCTCTTCAAAAAGTCAAAATGACAAAAAAAGCTTAGAACTTTTAATAGTATCGAAAAACTTGCTAAAAGGCCACGGTTCCGCCAAGTTTGCCGTGACATTTACTGTAACGACAATGAATCGACACCACGTCAAAATAACTTGACCAGTGTGCCTAGTGCGAGATTTTTTACGCGTTCGATCCCGAGAAAGTTAACTACAATTTGTATGGAATAAAATCAGCGCCAACTAGTGGCAATAATCGGAATCACAATTCATGAGTGCGAGTTTATTAAATCGTCGATATCGACCATCGAGCATTCACTCGCATTCGACAGTGAGAACGTTAACGCACGTGATTGGTTGTTTCAAGTATTTTGCGAGTGCGAGCGCAAATTTCGATCGTTCCATACATAAACAAACTTTACGCCGTCGATATCGAAAAAGTTTTCACCTAGATTTTCACAGTGAGATAGAAGAATTAGAATAATTGTTGAAGAGTTAATTTTATTTCGTTTTGTGAGAACGATATATAATTTTGGCAGGACGTTTAAGTTTCGTTTAGAGGATGTCGTCGCTTGTCGATACCTATGACGTTAATTCGGTTAACGCGATAGTGAAGTCCATAGATTAATGATAAGTCATCGCGCGCGCGCGCTCGATAACTTATCATTAATCTATGGTGAAGTCATTCGAATGATTTTGTAGAACTCGCACTAGGCACACAGAAGCTCGCACGCACCGACGAATGAACGACGATCATTCAATCTTCGTTTTTAAGATATGTTTAACATTGCGTGATCTATAGATACCTATTTACAAAGACACGTTTTACGTTTTGAAATAGTTCGCTAAGGTTCGTGCGAACGTTCGGAGTTGGACGGTTGGACCATCGTGCACTACCAGCATAAGAGTAAACAGACAGTAAACAAAATGTTTCAACATAGTTTATCTTTAATCTCTTTAAATAAATTTCGCATAGTTTGCCTATCAAAACAGCTTGACGGCAATCTGTGTGCTCATAATATTTCTTTAAAGCGACCTCCTTTTTATTTTTTACCATTATATAATTGAACATTATTAAGGTTAAAAATACTCAAACAGCACGTATTGATCAAGATCTGTAATGATACTAGTGAGAATATTAAGGTCATAATCATGGAAATATTCTCTGTTCACATTTGCAAATTTTAGATCATACAGACGTAAGCAAAACTAAAAACTATAAGAGAATTCACTATACCCCGTGGCGTAAGCAGCGACAGAGGTAGAATATGGGCAACAGCATCTTCCTAATAATGTTTTAAAACAATAAAAAACTGCGGTTGCCATCGCCTGCCAAACTTGGTAGTTGTGGCAAATATCCGGTAAGGCAATCTGTGTGACAGGCATATATACAGTAGTGGACTTTTAATAGGCTGCAATTAATGAACGAATTAATAAAATAAGTGATTTAAATACGAAATAGAGCTACTCTCCACACTAAGACCAGATACTTGTCTCGTTGGTATAAGTATAGTGGTTGGGTTCAAATCCCAGGTCGGGCCAAAAAAATCGGTTATTGATATTTTGCTATCAAGGAATTCTCAGTAGCTGCCCGGAGTGAGGAAGTCGGCGCAGTTTCACCCCCATCTCGAAAGTAAAGCCTTTGGTTCTGCGCCTGATCTCTCTCCTTTTACCGTCCGATCGGTTTATGAGAATGAAGGAATAGAGAGTTCACCTGTGTTTGAATTTTTTATAGGATAGGGTGACAAACGAGCACACTGTCCACCTGATGGGAAGTGGTTGCTGTGTTCCATAGACATCTACATTTATCCTCGTTTGCGAATCAAATTGCAGATGGGTTGTCACACGTGAGGACTAAGATGGAACGCCTCTTTTCCAGTAAAAAGGGTCTCCGGTTCTCTATACTCACCATACGAAACACAGCAGCATTAAGCTGCTATTTTACGCTGGTATTCTGTGAGAGCGTGGTCCTTCCCCGGTCGTGCCGACCCATTCGTGCTACAACTATACTACTAATATAGCTGCATCATGGCTTTACCACGTTAAAAACTATTGTATCAATAAATTAACTTTTGCTGTAATGAATTAATTAATTAATAAGTGATTTAATTACGAAATAGAGCTACTCTCCACATTAAGACTAAATACGTGTCTCGTTGGTATAGTGGTATAGGTATAGTGGTTGGGTTCGAATCCCAGGTCGAGCCAAAAATTGGTTATTGCAATTTTTTATCAAGAAATTCTCAGTCGCTGCCCGGAGTAAGGAAGTCGGCGCAGTTTCACTGCCATGTCTCGAAATGCATGTAAAGCCGTTGGTCCTGCGCCTGATCTCACTCCAGTCGTGTCTTTTTACCGTC